AAAGCAACTCGAAATTTCGAGTTAGCGCTGCCAATCAGTAATCTACGTGAATGACGTCATTTCCATGTTACCCGGAAGCTGAAGCCCTCAGCTACAAATGCTACAGCTAAGCTACCGGTATTAAATTCAAATTCAAATTCAAATTTTTATTTGTCACGTACACAGTCATACACAGTACGATATGTAGTGAAATGCTTGGACAACTGCTCGTGACCTAAAGAAAACAAAAAAGGAAAGGCTATGAATAAGATAGGAAATAAATATGAAAAATTAAAAAGGGTAAATTTAAATTCACATCCAGTCGTGAATGCACAGATTGCTGAGTGTTTTCAGCCTGGCTTCACAAATGATGAAATCCCTGTGTTATTAGCTGAATCACATGGTGTTACTATCAGCAAACATACTTTAATTTGTTGGGATCCGTTTTTTGAGTGCGCGGTCCTGCGCCATATGCTTCCGGGTAACAAGAAAGCGACCTCATTCGCGTATATTTTTGATTGGCAGAGCTAACTCGAAATTTCGAGTTATATTTCTCGAAATTTCGAGATAATAACTCGAAATTTCGAGAAAATAACTGGAAATTTCGAGAAAATAACTGGAAATTTCGAGTTATGGATACTAGCTTTTTTTTTTTTTTTTAGTGGCGGAAACGGGCTTCCATACATCCACTCTCCGTCTGCACCTTGTAGACTTTACATACTGTATAAAAGATGGACATAGTGTGGTAAATCTGCTTCATCTCTCATCTCCAGCTGACCTCAGCAAAAACTCTCCTAAGAAACTTTAGACCTTTAAGCAACCAAAGGGAGGAAAAACCATGTTGTCATGCTCAGCTCATGCTTGCATCATCCTTTTCATCCTTTACAGTAACACGTCATTTGTGACCTTAGAATAAGATTTCCCCCAACGTCCCACATAAATCTTCATACACAGTTCAGTTTCTGCTCTCCATCACATTGACATTTTTAAATGTTACATTCATGAGTGCTTTAACAGACTTTGCTTTTTTCTGATTTTTTTTTAATTTATATTGCACACACAGTTAGTGTGTGTTAACATCTGGAGAAGTTTGGGACAGATTCCAGTCAGACTGAGGAAATAAATCCTTTAATTTAAACACTAATCCAATTAGCTCAACACAACAGGAGCAACAACACAAAAGAGTGGGCCACTGAAGCAGACAGCTGTGCAAACACACACACACCCACATGTTGCTGCACTTTTCTGACCCAGTCTCTTGTTTATTTGCTTAAATGAAATGTGATCCACGTAAATGCTCGAGCTGTTATACTTAGAAACACACATCTCTTGTCAGGGCCAGGTTTATGGCCCTCTCCTGGCTCAGAAATACCAATATAAATAAAAATGACCAAAAAAAACAAAAAACAAATTGTAAAAAAAAAGAAAAATCAAAGGAAAATGCATCCATCCTCTTCCGCTTATCCTTATCAGGGTTGTAGCAGTCTGGAGCCTATGCCAGCTACCATAGGGCGAGATGCAGGGCACATTTTCCACAGGCCAGCCTGAGGGCTAACACACGAGACAACCATTCGCACTCGCACCTTTGGGAAATATAACCTAACCCCACTAACTGCATGCGTTTGGACTTTGGGAAGAAGCCGGAGTACCCGGAGAGAACCCACACAAACACAGGAGAACATGCAAACTCCACACAGAAAGGCAACAGTGCCAATCACCAGTGCTGCCAACAAAAAATGATAGAAGAAAAATCCTGTTTGGTCCATTTAAACCAAAGCCTTCCTACAACACTCTTCATTCTGGCTCAAAGTTCTAGATTACCCCAGAGTAAACATAATGAAATGATTCAAATTATACACATGAGTGGAATAAAAATAGGAAATAATGAAATCTCTAAGACCAACAATAAAAGCCAGTGAGCTGAAGAACAGAATAAGAAATGAAATGATGATGAGGGAAATTTCTGTGCCAGATTCCAGTAATTTTCTCACACTAACAAAAGCCTTTAATTTCAAACACATTCTCCGAGCTGTAGTTTTCTTTTTGGCTCAAAGACAGCAGCGGTTCAACAACTCGCCCAAACAAGCATTGAACAACACCTGTTAACACCTGACATGTTGACATGGAGAGAGAAAGTTTTTTGACTTGCTAAGATAAAAATCAAACCACTCACGCTTCACTAACGTCAAACAATGGTGTTACGTTCATACTTAAGATCGACACAACTGCTAAGTGTTCACATGTTCGCAACTGTGGCTGATTCCTTCTTCAGCCAGCCATCCATACACATCCTCATCAGTACAAACTGTTCAGCTTTGTGAAAGACATCACAGTTGTAAACCAGATGACTGTAAAAACCTGATCAACAGGTTACATGTTCACATATGTCTTTACAGCTGTTTCAGGCCAAAATAATTGCTACCACAGTGGTGTCGGGGTGTTCCTGTTATTTCCTTTGATGTTGCTGTGAATTCGGTGCTTCGTTACATTCTTCAGTCTTTGGTTCTACTGAAGAGTTTCAGCAGAATACAGATTATTATTTTAACCTGTGTCTTTATGATGGTCTTCATTTTTGCTTTGTTCATTGCTTGTGGGATTTTTTTCGGACTTGATTGTCTCCAGTGTTTTGCTTTGAGTTTCACACATTGTCTGTACCTGTGTCTTTTACCTAGCTATTCACACTTTCCTGATTACCCAATATTACTGTTTAAAAGTCTCAAGCACTTTTGCTTTCTTTGTAGCATGTTCAAAAATGCACAGTATTTAAGGCAATCCAGTATTTAAGGCAAAAACAGAGTTTGTATAATTCTAAAAAGCTTGAAAGTCAATAGTTGGTATGGCCACCTTTATTCTTCAACAATAGGCTGAAGGCCGAAGGTGTGTCAGGTTTTCCCCCGGGATCCTCAGCTGTAGATAGTTTTTTTTTGTTTTGGCCTGCCATAGTTGGAAGCATTTGGCATCAGAAACGGGCATTTCTAAACAAAAGGCTGGCCCAACCCTTTTAAATACAGGAGGGGCAAAAATAAATTAAATTAATAACACGTAGTGGATGGTTCTCTGATGCAGATCCAGCAGAACGAGTTCCCACCAAGCCTACACCTAACTTGGTAGCAAGTGAAACTGACAGTCGCAATGCATGTACAGGAAATATGGAAACATTTATTGTATATGCAGTGAAATGGAACCCGAGGGAGGCACCTGAACCTTCAGCTAATACATTTATTATTAAAAAATGAAGGTAACCAGTTTGAAATACTGACTTCCAGAAACCTCCCATACCTATTTCCCACATGTATTGCTTTCATTGAACAACTACAGAGCGCTTTAAAAGCCAACGTGTTTCCTTAATGATGGTTTGACCTGTTTGGATTTCATTAACAGTAAATCCAACACGCTGCTCAAATTCCAGGTGTTCTAAACTTTATTGTGATCTTGAAACAGATCAGAATTTGATCTCAGGTTAAGTTATTCTGTAGAAAAGCTGAAGGTGCATTTGTCTGCTTTCTACAAAGCGATGCCACAGCTAATATGGGCGTGGTGTTAAACAACTAGCTGTGCAAACAGGATGTGTGCAGAAGTGTATCTATATGGTTGATCAGTGGTGTCAAAGAGGAAAATGTTGGTTTGTGGTACGAGTGGAGTCAGAGGAATAATTAGATTTACGATCTTAACACAAATATAGATTTTCATGACCTGGACACAGCAACCTTTGTTTACTGTTATTTCTGAAAAGGTGTTGTCACAACCTCTGACGCATTGGCACGGATACACGGACAATATAAACAAACATAAACAGTTACCACCAAAACAAGTTAAACTGGAACACCAGCAGGTTGATATTATATGGTGCAGATATCATTAACATTATGTTGGGATCATGTGGTTCTGGTTTAATCACAAAAAACCACAGAGACTCAGTGTTGAGATAAAATGATTTTTAATGTTTATTCTATGAGTAAAATGTTGCAAAAAGGAAAATGAATTTTTAAACAAAAAAGGATGTTAAAAAATAAATTTTTTGGAAATATTTAGATTTTTTAATGCTGGCATTCATTTGAACTGAGGTGACCTCTCTTTTCTCAGGGCTCAGATAAAGTACAAATAAAAATCACTGTTGCAATAATTAGTGACCTGAAAGCAAAGCACAGCCACAGAAACTACAGATAAAATGACAAACTTTACTTCCCCAAATCATACAGCTCCCACATAGTTCCTCCTTAACCAACTCCCAAACTAGCTGAAATTCTGCTGAAAAGAGAAACACAATATGATATAAATAAAAGTGATTAAAAGTCCCCCAGGCCAACGTCTATCCCCACTGAGATACTGCTGTGGCAGCAGAAGCAGCACACTAACACAGGCAGAAATGATATGTGCACAGTAGACAGCGGCGTCGAACAAAAAGCTATTACATCTCTATGACCACATCCAATACCTTAATACAGTTTGTAGAAATTTCTCTTTCCCTCTTGGGGAGTCTTAAAAATATATTTTAAAATTTCCGTTAGACGTTTTTTTCAAACCATAAAAACAAGTTTACATTCAGGATCTCACTGTGCCCAACGTGTATTATCGCGGGACCGTCATTCTACTGGATTTCATCCGTAACCCGGCTCCTAGAACGCGGAAGGTCGTTCCTCGGGAACGCCGCGGGACATGACAAATCGTCGGGATGTTACGCCTCAGGAGTTCATTATTTTTATTTTGATAGGTGAAAAAAGATGAAAAAAGAGTCTAAATCTTTTTGGACTATATATATATATATGCAGTAAATAAATATGTGGAGACAAAAAAAAGAAACATTGAAGCTATTCTTGCATTAAAACAGTGTTTTTGTTTTTACTGTGATTATTTATTGTGAGCAGCAGGAAACTACCTGCAGGATTAAACGGGAGGAGGTGTTGCAGTAAATTTTGTCTCCCTGCACAATCCATGACTTTTCAAATAAACTTTATTTAAACAGTTTTTCTGTTTAAGTGTAATTACTGAAGTTTTTTTCTGTTTTTTCTCCCTTCACGCAGGCTCAGTGAGAACCATCCACACATGGACACGGCTGCAGAAGTCTCCGCAACACCAGTGCTGGAGGAGGCGCAAGAGGAGAAAGAGAAGACAGCATGATGAGGTTCCGCCTGTGCGCATGGTGTTTTCACTGATGTCAGGCAGTTGCAGAATATGTGACAGGTGCGTTACAGCTGGAAAATCTGCTTAATCTGGAGTTTCGGAGCACAAATCGCAACAATTTAGCAGAAATTTGACGTAGACGGCTTAAAAAACGTGGATTTTTACATTTGGGGGTTGAAATAACATTGTAAACACACATAAACACAGCCGAGATATATTTAAAAAATATTTCTCATAGTATGTGCATTATTATTATACTGAACTTTTTAAAGCGGAAATGACTGCCTCTTGGCTTCCGTTTACTGGGATACGTGAGCCAGGAGTGTCTAGCTAGCTGGAAAACTAGAAGTAATAAGTAAATATAAAATTTATTTTGGGCATCTGGAAGGGATAAAGAAACGGCATGAACAGTTTAATCAGGTCAGTAATGAAACCGACAACGACTGGGCCATAAAATGAGTGTGATGGGTCATCGAGGCTAACTACGTAGTTCAGCGTTAGCCGTTTTCTTTTAGCTTAAGCTACTTCCGGTAACTGGCCAACTTTAAAGAAGTCAAACAAGACAAACAGAATTTCTCTGAATTAACTGCAGATAAACGAGCTTCTCCTCATATAACCAGCTCACAGGGAGCCGCTTTAACTCCTGCCGCTTCTCCGCTAACTCTTTTCACTCCATCGTCTTTAAGTTTGAAGTTAAAAACACGTCGAGATAACATTTTTAGATGAATAACACATGGTGAAACCCTGGATCACGGATGATTTTTAAAAACTGAAAAAATCCAGACAATACTTCAGTTTTCTCTCATTTACGCTTAAAACTCCCTTTCTTAATAATAATTTTAAAAAAGCCCAACTTAACACCAAGAAAATATTTTATGAAGGTTTAACATTCACGTTTTTGGCCGTTTTTCCTTGAAAATGAAAAGACGAGTCCACTCTTTTGACTTTTACTTTTAATCTAGTTTAAGTTTTACTTTGGAAGGATTTTATATAATTAAAATGCTATTTCATTTTATGTTTTTACCTCTAATGCTTCATTATGGGTTGAATTTTCGTTTAAATACTCAATACTGCTGTTTCTGCACTTGAGCTTCACTGAACCTGCTCGTTGACATTCCTGGATTTGTTGGATTTCAGTATCATCAGCTGTGTCACAGGAGTTACACTGAAACCTGGGTGTCTTTCTTTGTCTCCACAGCCTGACGGTGTTCCTGCTGTGGAATCAGAGCGTGGGTGAGTCTAGCATAAAAAAACCTTTTTACTAGGGCTGGGTATCGTCACTGATTTCTAGAATCGATTCAATTCCGATTCACAAGGTCCCAAATCGATTTGATCCACGATTCGATTTAATTCGATTTGATTTGATTCGATTTAAATCTGGGAAATTTTGACAGCCAGAAATATAATTCATATCAGTACATTTACATATTTTTGTATCAATAAAAAGGAAGCTGACACACGCAAGACTTTATCAAAGGTGTGAGCATCACAGTAGATGCCTTTGTGTCAAAGTAGCTGAGGATAAAACACAGAAAAACATGAAGGTGATTTTCCTGTTCTGGGATTTTATAAAAATATTCTGCAGTACATCAAAAACGAAAGAAAACCATTAATCAATATATGAACATTACCTCTGACGTTACAGGGGTTTTATTAGAGACACGTCTAAGCATTTTGCATAATTTTAAAAAGTTTAAATTTGTTCAGTATTGAACAGCAGAAATGAGGTTTTCTTTTCGGAAGAATGTAAAAGGGAAAAAAACAGCAGGCGACAGCGCTGTAAACAACAGTAGTCTTGTGGGTAACAAGCAAGCGAATAATGAAGAAAACAGAGAGAGAGAGAGAGAGAGAGCTGTGCATCGTGGTGGAAGTAAAACAGTAAAAGTCAGAGTGAATTCATGACGATGTTTATGTGAAGCGTTTGGATCTTCTTTTGCTGCTGGTTCGGTCAATATTGTTTGGAGAGAGATCAAACTAACAGCTTTAGAATCGGCTCAAAAAGGGCGTGAACACAAAGCGCGGACCCGCCGACAGATCAGAATCAGTGAGCTGTCGGCTTTCAGCCCCGACCATGAGAAAGGCGACATCTAACTGATTCTGATCCGCGGGTCCGCGCTGTGTGTTTACGTCTATGTGCAGAATCCGTGTACCTGCTCTCATTTACTGTCTTAGTTGTTTGGTGGTTGTTGAAATTTTGTGATCTTTCACCTGAGATTCTGGCATTTCGGGCAAAATAAATTTATATTAAAAAATCGATTCAGGATTTTAATGAATCGATTTTATGTTATCCAAGCCAGAATCGATTTTAATCGATGAATCGATTATAAAAACTCACCCCTGCTTTTTACAGTCTAAAGTTTGGATAGATGTCATGACTTCTGTGAAATTTGAGCTTAGAATAGAATAATCCTTTAATTGTCCCACAAGGGGAAATTTGGGTGTAACAGCAGCAAGAAAGACAAATATACAAACAAACAGTACACAAGAGTTTCTAACATCAGATATTTCTTCAGGTATGCTTTTTTTTTAAAAGGCCGATCCACTCACTTTCAGCCCTCCCTCACAAACACACATGAAAGTCTGACTGCATGTTTAATATTAACGTCTGAAACAGTGTTAAAAATAAAACCCTGACGTTTTTACCGGCCCTTCTGAACATAAAGTGAATCAATTGATTTGATTGGTAATTTATCTCAACATGTGAACAATATACAAGTACATTTAGAAAAGAAAATAAGAGAGAGAAAAAATACTATACAAATTACATACAAAAAAACCTTCTGATTAATTTACATGTTGAAAGGGATTAATTAGAGGAATTAAAATCCACTAAAATGTTAAATTAATAAAATAAAACTCAGTTTCATATCAAGCAATCTGAAACCTCTTGTTATCCCCACCACAGCGCTGCTTTATATACATAGGCTGTGTGTACTTCTTAAAAATGGTTAAATGGTTCAGAAGAACTATAATAGTATATATTTTTTTTTAACATGAAGTTTTTAGTCACAAAAATTAGTAAACGCTTCTTTCATTCAGCTTTCACGCTAGATCGAACAAATATGACAAATGATACCACAAAAGCAAAAACATCAGCAGAAATTAGAAACAGAGTCTGGGGTTAGATTAAACACGGGCATATTTTCACAAGTGGATTACTTGCTCATTTCATGTACGAAGTCTTCTGAGGCCAATACATAACGGCGTGATCAGCAGTCAAGATTCTAACTGTAATGCAATGATGGCTACAGGCAAGCAGGGGTCAGACGGTCAGCATGCTGACAGCCAGAGTGAATGCTGCAAGATTTGTGACACATGAAAATGCTACTCTGTGGCAGCTTTAATGGCTCTTTGTATATTTAAACCTAGCCTGAATTTAAGTTTATCAGTCAGCTTAACCTCAGACTACTCCTGAGCGATGTCCCTGCTTTCAAAGTCAGTCTCAAAAATGAAAACATTAGTTTAATGTTGCATTTCTGTGAAATATAGCACTGGTCACTAGTTGCTTTTGGAGTTTTTTATTTTCAAATATGGGACTTCAACACTTGAATTATTATTAATTTATATATTTATTTCATATTTTAACTAGCCAGTAGTGAAGACATTTATTAACGGATCTGTCTCAAATTGGAGACTCGGGGTGTTCTCTCACCTCAGTGTAGTTTTTCTTTGGTTCAGTGTTGGTTCTCCTTGTGTGTCAGGGTAATTTAAGATATTTAAACACAGTGTAATTAAATGTTTCCACCAAAAAAAAAAGACCTAAAACAGAAAACAGCTCTATGTGGTTAAGTATTGCGGTTTCAGTTCCTAGTCAGGTGTGAATCTTCTTCCTCTTTCTGGTTTCCTGCTGTTCATGTTCTTGTTGCGTTGCATCAGTTGAGCTGAACAAACATGAGAAGCATGCCATGGAAAGTCTGTGTGGCCCTCCAAAATAAACCAAAATTAAAACTGTGCAGTCATTAGAGAGTAGTTTGAGTGAGTTGGCAGTTCCTACTGACTAGTGTGGTCATTTTCTGAACGTAAACGGCTCGTCTCATTGTGGTACCTGCATGTACGGCAGCATGAGACAGACAGGAAAGTGGAAGATGTGAAAGAGTGGAAAATTTCTGGGCTTGGCAATTGTTGTTCCCTTTGTGGACAGAAGAGGATTTAGATCCAGTTTAGTTAGTGTATGTTTGCATGTGAGCAAAGAGCAGAGATGAGCAGGGAGTCTGTTGATACTGTGGCTACGCAATCACTTCTTCATACAGTGATGCACACAACAAAGAGGCTGCAGGGTGGCCGGAGAGTCATTAACGACATGGTTTTTTTAGGGTTCCAAATGGTCTGAGACCGTCCAACAGACTCCATGCCATCAATTGGCTAAATCATGAGAGCGTCTCCTTCACCTAAATCAGGTATACCATCATCTCGGCGTCCATGTTGCATACAAATGACATCACAAGACACTTCCCTACGTTGCTATAACAACCAGATGTGCTTTAGGTTGTACTCGATTGTAATGGAAAAAAAGAGTCGTGCCACGTTGGGCCTGTCCCAGTAGGTACTATGGAAAAAAACCCCTAAAAACTGTGCAGAAAATCAGGATCCTGTTACCGTCTTTATGACTGGATTTATTACAAATGAATTAACCTTTATAATGTAAGCAGGTTGCCTGGAATTATTTTCTAGTTTCAGCTGTAAAATTATCATAAAATAATCTGTGAGTGTGTGGTTTTCTCCCTTGTTTATCACCAGCTCCAGGCCTGTGCTGAATACATGAAAGAATGGCGCCCCTCCAAATAAAGAACAAACAAAAACAAAGATAAAATCCATAAAACTACAGTAAAGAAAAGTGAAATCACAGGAAAGAACAGAGGACAAAAATCAGTACAAATACATAAAAAAATGCTTGCGCTTCATCCAGAATATTCCTGGCAATCTCAGAGTGGACTCTGTGGGAAAAGAAACATGCATTAAAACAAATGTTATATTTGAAGTCAGTGTAAAAAATAAAAAAATAAAAACCTAAAGAGCTGAAGTTCCCAGGTTTTTCTTGCTGATAAAACCCATTCATACTACCCTAAATTAACTAACAGAACAGGGGCTTTCATTTCAGTCTGTACAATCAGCCATTAAAACATTTTATATAATTTTCCATGTTGGTTTCTTACGGTTTACGAGTTGCTCTGATAAATGTCTCCCACTTACTACAGCAGGCTGTTTTCTAACATGTAGGAAAACTGAAGAATATTATTGAAATGACACTTATTTTTTTCCTAAATGAAATCATCTCAGCTAAATGTGTAGTTAAACTTCACTGACAGACAGGACAGTTTCACTGGTTCGGACCACCTCGGATAAAAATGGGCTGTACGTCACCCTAATGAGTTTGATGTTCCTGCTTTACAGAGTAACAACCAGTGGAAAAGAAGCAGGATTTGTCAGATTCTGTACAAATCAGCTCCACACAGACAGATCTTCTGGCAGCTTATCTTTGTTTTTATAAAGTTAATTGTGTGAACACCCTCGTTTTGAACTCCACACACTAAAGTCACCACAGTTTAAATCCACTTTAACATTTGGCAGGTTAAGTGTTGAAGTCCCAAACCTTTATTTTATTTTTTTATTCACTTTTATTATTTTATACATTTTCCTTTGTTTATGAAGAGAAAAAAAGTTCAGTTTGATCTGATCTGCCTCAGGTTTAGTTTATTGTAATAGCCTGCCTTCACATTCATGATTCTGATCTCTGGTATTTGCAGATATTTAAAGATGAACTATTTCTAAGACCTGACTCACCTTTATGCAGAGGTCTGTAATCATGTAGGTCAGTACCATTTAGTGAAGTATTTAGCTGATGAAGGACTTTGATTAAATCAAATCAAATCACTTTTATTGTCACATCACATGTGCAGGTACATTGGTACAGCACATGTGAGTGAAATTCTTGTGTGCGAGCTTCACAAGCAACAGAG